ACGTCACTCGTGGCCTTTAAATTAAGAATCATTTTTGTATGATCATCCGGGAAAAATAGATTATGAAGTTAATAAAATGGGTGATTAACGTTTTCTGTAGTATCTTCGGCTTACAAAAACTGAAAAAGACACTTCTTCGGCTCACGCTTTATACTGCGCTCAAGACGGAGAGTGATTAGTACTATGAACTTGCCAACTGACGACCCGTACAAAAAGAAAACGAAAATCTTGGCAACTTGTATGCCTTGTACTCGATATGCCTGAATTACTGCCTTTTATGTGTTTGTGACTATCAGAAATCGGTCGACATCCCTTACTCCCCCACGGTAGGCCACCAACGGTCAGATCACCCCATCCTGTTTTCGTCACATTCGTGCACGGCGCTTAGAGCAGATCACCCGTGCTGATCTCCGCGTTTATGTATGTATGACAGTCATGGAGCATTCGGTTTTTTCATATTCATTTTTCTCGCCACCTTATCTTTGTGGATACGCACTTCTTTGTATCCCGAGCCAGTAGGCATATGTGCGTCTATTTTGTGCCTTCCTGAACTACCTCATCCACTCTGATTTGCAAAAAGGTCGCTGCATTGGTTTCGACCCGAGCGAACCCACCTCACGTTCTGATGGGAAAATGACTGTGGTAGAACAGATTAAGGCCAGTTTGCCTCCCGGCTCCGGCGTACTTATGGTCGGAGATGGCATGACGGACGCAGCGGCCGCCCCGCCTGCTGATGCTTTCATCGGTTTTGGTGGCAACGTGGTCCGCCCAGCAGTGCAGCGAGCTACACCCTACTATTTCTATTCGTTTGACGATATGTATGCCTTCTTTCGGGATAACGGAATAATTCGTCAACTTGATTAGGGCCAACGCCACCATTTTCATCTGTCATTATTTGCGTTTCCGCCTCACATTCTTTTTGTTCAAATAAATCTGATTTGAGACCCTTTACCAATACTCTTTTTTCAATCACCTAGCTGTCAATTTATCAGTCCAGGATAAAACCCCCCCACCCCAGGAGTATTGTGGATGAGACTGGTAGGGGGTGGGGGAAATGGTGACTTTGGGTTTATCTGCCGTACGCCAACCCCAGGCTCGAACGTAGATGCAACTGGTCAGCCAGACAAACGCCCTCTCAGACAAGCGGCTGTGATAAGGAACATTCAGAATTCTGGTCCCGTTTTGAGGTTTGGTTGGACAACTAGGAAAAATGAATCAGAGATGGTCATTCCTGTCACTCCCGTCATCTTGGTAATATTTATCGATTATTAATTGCTCGTCGAAATGTGACCAACTTCGGCGGTTCTAGACTATGCAACTAAGGCAAGACAGAGCACTCGTCTTTGTTTATACAGTCGGGGCAGGTCAATAAAGCCGCTCACCATGGCCTACCTCCGCCATCCAGTGGACCGACTTACGCTGGACGGAGATCACCAAAGGTCTTGAGAGGCCAAATTTAATGTTGCTCTTGGTTGACCATATTAACATTAAGATCAAAGGCTCATTGTGATGGTGGAAATGTCTTTTGGTTGTCTCGAGGTCTCATCGAATCATCCGTGATTCTCGAACAACTAGCTAGGTATCCACCAGGTCATCATAGCGGAATTTGAGCGCGCAGTTCGAGGTGGGTCGGACACGGATAAAGTCTGAGGCTGTGGACGAACAAACACACTTTATAATCCTATCCGGAATTCATTCTCAGCAATTTGGGGCTGTATGAAAGCACACTTTGCACTGCGTGCGTGATTTTAAGCGCTGACGTTGATCTCATGACAGTCATAACGGAGAACTAGTCCGCCACCCTAGCAGCCAACGTCTCCTAACCCTGTCCATCCTAAATAAACTTACATCGGATGCCCCATCCCCTCAACTTTTAAAGACCTTGGAGGCAGGAGCAGCCTTTCCGTCTTACCGAAAAGTCGGCTCAGCAGCCCATTCGTGCTGGGGCTTTTCCCCTCAAAATCACTGTAGAAGACAGGACCGGGGCTTTATCGTCATAGTCAGCACAAAGCAGCCTAAAACGTGACAATTAGGCATCTCTCCTCGCCTACATGATTCAGCCGCGTTTCGTGATATCGGCAGGTTTAACCGGTAAATTTTTTCAGCGAAGTCTATCAAACTGATGACAGTAATTTCATACCGTGCTCTATGTCCCGTTAGGTCAGTCTTCAGTCCCTTGGTATGGCTTCTTCGACCCATCTCCGAGTACCTATCCCGCGTACCTTTTGCCTCGGAGAACTTGGGTGGCGGTTTACAGTGGGCCGTGATATTTATCCTTCAGGCAGCTCTGTCACTTCTCTGAGAAAAGCCTTTTAGTCAGGGCGACGAACAGCATTCTTGGTGTAGCTAGGATCCGCGCGAAGCGGCAGTCCGTGCCTTGCAGTAGGAGTTAAGATCCTCTGAAGTTTTGTCCCCCGTCGGCGTTTCTGCCTCGACACCAAACATTATTTCTTCGTTGTCTGTGGTGTCCTGCTGTCGTTGCCTGTGCATGGTGCTCTGGGAAAGCGCTTGAATAGTATTCCAGCTTTGAGGGAAAACCCTGGGAGTCCCTGTCATTGCGGTCCCTGTGTACGGCCTATATAGCCGGTTCGGGTTTGAATACCAGCGGGCTTGTTGCGCACTTGTGACACTAAATAGATACCAGTGGACAGGGTCCAATTCTCACCATCATTACAACCCGAGAGCGAGGATGAGACCATGAAACAAACAGACATTCAGGCCCTTTAAGCGCCCTCCGGTCTATAACTTCCTACTTCAAATTCTTCCAGACTGTACGACTGGCAAATATTTTTCGGTCATTGGATAACGAACAAAGCAACAGTTACCTCAGGGGCACTCATTTGCACCCCAACCCCGTCTTAAAGTGCCGGCGTCTAAGCACAGTTTGCCGTCCGAAGAACGACCTAATTTCGAGTCTTGGAAGTAGTTGGATAGCTTAAGTAGAGCACCAGAGACCGGACGTACTCAAACAAGAGTGTAGGGTCTTGGAGGTTCGTCAGCGACCTCAAAACAAACGGAGACTTTAAATTCCATACAACCGTAGTCATGTGCGGCGATTGTTGGTTGCTCGTGTCAAATATGCCGTACAAGGGTTTCCTTACTATTCGAACTGAAACCTCATAACACCTGAGTGCCCCTTGTTACGTAGTAGTTCATGGAACGCGTAACCTCAATGGGCCCATCCGCGGCTTGACACTGTAATTCGAAATAGGAGCGGTTACGCGTCCGTAAAGCGAGAACGTAAGATTTCAACCACTTAAGGCTGCATGCAATTATCTGCATCATAATTCACAAAATAACATTCCGAGTGCTCATTATGGTGGGATGGGGATGGGCCGTCGCTGGAAGTCTTTGGGACCAGTGCACCTCACGACTTGGATCTATCGGGAAACCACCCATTTTCGCCGTCTTCCTCGTAATTAAATGTCACATTCTATAAGGCCAGGTAAGCTCGTCAGGAATTGAGGCCCCATCGTCTCTGCCTGCACATGTCACCTTCAATCGCACCTCCACGGTCATCACATGCATGTTGTTCTCAAGTCGTTTTAAGTTCAGCATTGACACTTCAACAGCTCAGTTCACTTCAAATATGGTCTACTGGAGGATTAGTGGAACACAAGGCCTTGGAAGATGCTGACAGTGTGACTCGACATATGCTGAGGACTTTACCTCATTGTCGTGTCGTCGTTCTGGCGGGGTGTAAGGTCGTCTTCTACGCTCACCCATACACTTCCGAGGAGTAACCAGTACAAGTGCAGCACCAACTTGGCCTGGCGTCATGCTCGAAAAAAGGGGAAGCGGACCTGAGACCGCACTAGCTCCGCTGACTTGGTGGTCACTAACCCCTCCTGTGTCCTACTTCCGGCGCCCGCCCCACGTTACTTCCCTGTTCTCACTTGCAGATCTTTTCTACTGGCGTAAGTGCACCCCTTTGCCTTGCTCACTGGTCTATCACAGGCGTCTAGGCAAGACCAGCTAGCCATGGTGGATGAGAACCATAGTCTGACCTCTCCCAACGCCCGTCGCTAGCCCACTGAACAGGACGCGCGTCCCCTGTGCAAGCACATTTTCCGATAGCCTAAACTCGCTGCTGATTGATGGGGATTGTAAATACCGATTATCCTTTGCTGCTCTCTCTACCACTAAGGATGGACTGTTGAGTCTTAGAGTTCGGATGAATAAAATCCTCGTACCGGTGATTTGGAAGATTTCACATTTTTAGATGACGTTATAGTTAAAACTGAACTGGCATGAGACTCGTTCAAGGGAAAAATAGTCACGACAGACCTAAGGCGTGCAAGTCAGCATGACAACAGCTCAAGTGGCTGAGCAGGCCAACGCGAAAAAAACCGAGAAAACAGAAAGCGGCAAGGCATGGTCACACGCTTCAAGTCGAGTAAGTCAACAGGCGCACCATCCGACAATTAGCTATCTGGGAAGGGACGAAATTTAGTCCGTTGAAAAATTTCGAAAGACTGATGAAGTTAGTACGGAGTGTTGCGTTTTTGATCCATACACGAAGAACGATATCGCGAACAGATCCTAATACTTGCAAAAACATGTCGTAAAACCTTATCTTATGTTGACCGTTAGTTCTAAGAAAAAGACAGCTGCCTATATATTCTTATCAAATTCTAAAACAACTGACCCAAAAAAACCGAACCTCTTAAGTTAACCTAATATAGGCGCTGGTAAAGCGTCCCTCGCCTTGGTCGTCCGCATTTCATCGTGCAAGGTACACTTAAGTCCAGTCTAATGCCGAGTATCGCATAACCATAGTGGGATAAAAAGTAATGGCTCCGAAAACTGCGAGTTTGGAATACATGTTCTGTTTGTTGGACTGATATTCCGTGTAGTTTCCGCGACCGACATCTTATGACATGTAAAAAAAGCTAAAAATTTAGACACGGAATAGCATTATGTACATATAGGCAGAGCCAGGTTCAAGTATTTACAATATTATAGCTAGACTGAGGGTCAGGCTATGGACCAGACAGGGATTAGCGATTGGCGGAGGAGGAAGATTGCTTGTCTTCCAGTTTCTTCTTAATGAGGGCTTTGAAAAGGGCCTGTAACTTCGCCTCACGCTTAGCGCGTTCCGCGTGATTAAAGTTCTCCAAAGCCCGTTTCTCGTCTGCAGAGTAGATCTGGTTCTCCTTCCTTAGACGTACAGCTTCCATTCGGCGATGACGGCTACCAGACATGACGTAGCCTGCCTGCTCAAATTTCTCGATTTCTTCGGAGGTTAATCCGATTTCACCTCTCCTGGGTATTCTCTTGCCTTCAGCAATGTATGCGGCCATTGCCGCACCTTCTCCAGGCAAAAGGGCTTTGCCATAGTCGAGAGGAACTGCGGCAGAGGACTCGCCACCAGGCAGGACTGGTCCTATCAGCGCTGTCGCCTCTTCTTCCTCTGCACGAAGACGCTCTAACTCCATTTTCTTGGCTTTCATCTGACGAATAAAGAGTTTTTGCTCATCCTCCTCGTTGGAAGACGACTCGCTGGAGGATGACGAAGATGATGGTTTTTCGCGGTGTTTTCTCGACTTTTTGTGCTTCTTGTTGTGGCGGTGGTGATGATGGTGGTGGTGGGAACGTGTATTTGACTTCCTATTTTCCCCTGACTTTTTATGCGATTTCGACTTTTTGGTTTTGCCGGAGTCGGAGAGATCATGGGATAGGGAATGAATAGGAGCCGGATCCGGACCTTCGACAACTGTCGCTTCTGTATTCCCTTCGTCCTCGGAGAAGGGTCTTGAGGGCGGACTTGCCCAGAGTTTTTCGTTGAAGAGGGCTCCTGCCTTTTCTCTATTCTGACGCCTGTGCTCCCAAAATTCGGGGGTCTGGTGGCCTACTTCAAAAGGCCTGTAACGGGGTTTGTAATTCTCGTTCATGTTTATGTGTTCATCGGTCGTATGCGGCCTTCTAAATTCCCCATCAAACGGGGAGGAGTGTCTATCACGTCGGTTCTCCAAGTGATTGTGGTCAGGCTTACTTCCCCTCGATGATTTTTTCGAATTTGTGGAAATACTGTCGTCGAATGGAGACCTGGATCTTCCACGGTGCTTGTGCCTGGCTTCGGACATGATAAATCTGTAGAAAAGATGAAACGTTGGCAGTTCTAAGATTAAGCCGCAAAAAGCGTCCACATGCGTTGGGCAAAATCGCGAAGACGCATGCAACATTCAGAGCAAATTAAATGCATTCCAAGTGCACTTGCAGCGGGAGTGAAGTTGACAGAAGACTCCTGTCATCCAAAACTGAGGCAAAGACAACCAAACTACGAAAAAAATAAAATATCTGCACGAACCTGCCGAAAAATTATTTAGGTCTAAGAGCCCTACGGGGCATATTTCTGATGTGAGGAATACGCGATAGATTATGTAAAGCAAAAAACAGCCCTATTCGTAGTCAATATTCGTGACTAGGTTGCGGTCAGGGATAGACATCAACTAACGAACTGACGGAAAATTGTCTGACATTCGTCGCTTCAAAGCACCTTCGATAGTATTCAAGGTCAGCGTCCAGGATTTGTTTGCAGATGACTGCTGCTAAACACAACAACGGAAGAGGAAGTGCGGCGAAATGCCCTAACTTCGTACTGATCATCAACATGGAGAAAATGATGGTCATACACCAACCGGCGATCAAAGAGGACTACAATGAACCCCATATCAACGTCAATGGAAGACAATTTTCATCAGTGGGCAAACTAGCATACCTAGGAATTATAATTTCAAAGATCAAGATCGACGATGTAGCGGCCCCCGGATCATCCGCAGGCTACAGCTCTCAGTTTAAAACAGCCACGGACTGAAACGCAACACAAGAATCAACATGCACAGGGCAGTGACCCTGACAACACTGTTCTGTGAGGCGGAGACATCGAGAGCCTATGCCAAATAAGTCATGCAACTCAGTCCCTTTCATCTCAGGAGAATACTGAAGCTGGGGTGGCAAGACCGTCGCATACACGGACGTCCTGAAAGTAAACGCCATGTTTAGGCAAATCCAAACACGCCCACGTAGTGACGAGTACCTACCTAAGCGGCTATTCCATGGTGAGGTCGTGACGGGTGCTCGTCATCACGGAGAACAGAAACGACGTTACAAGAGCACGGAAAATTTCCCTCAAGAATCTCAAATCAACCCCGAGACCTGGGGGATCTCGCTCAGGATCGATCGGCCTGAAGAGCAGCGAAGAATGGGGCAGAAACCTACGAAGCCCACCGGGGCAACTCTGCCAAAGCCAAAAGGGGGGCTCGTAAGTTTCAGGCTCCTCCGACCCACAACGCCAACACGCAACCTTTCCCCTCATGTCCCTGCTGTCAACGGACATTCCGCTAACGGATCGGCCTCAGCGAACCCAATGCAATAACGATACGACAACTCCACTTCTGCCTCCTCAAACATCTTAATCGTCATACCTGCCGTAAACTCCCACGACGCTTACGATGACGACAAAGACTGTCACCACCGCCAACAAAACCATCGACGAGCACACTCCTGATGCTTCGCTGCCAACCACCCACATCATCACTGTCACAACCCCCGCGGCGAAAGCTACCTACTCCTGCCATCGGTGAGAACCCTCCCGACATCATGTAAGCCATCCCCCCTCAAAATACGCACTGCGGACTCGCTCACAACCTGTCCTCACTGCGCTCGCACCTTCATATCGAGCATCGGTCCGGTCGGTCACTTGCGAAATAGCCGTACTATTACTGGCGAACTAGTGCCTGAGGCCCAATATACATTCGCCCTAACCGCGCGCACTACCCACGCACATCCAGTCACCTTATGAGGCTACTCGGCCACATCCACCTCTGCGAAAATCTGCGGTAAATCAACATAAACCAAGACCTCATCACCAAACATACGCATACAAACACGCACACCATACACGAACCTGTCCCACACTACCTACCACCGGCACAGAAAAGGTACCTCATGTGAATGGGAGGCATGTTCTTTGGCTCCTCCATGTGGTCTCTATGGCACTGTAACGCATGCGAGATCCGAGCAGCCCACGCCTTTGCGCGAAAACCTGGTGCGTTGTGTGAGAGGCCAGGCCGTGTGTGGTACGCGTAAACCGGCTGTTTAGCTCTGCCAGCCACTTGCGTCCAAACTCCGCATCAGATGCCTGACCGGCTCGGGCAGTGGATTGGTTCCTGGGAGGGGGAGAGTGAGGTCAACTTTGGTAAATTCGTCCTCATGGGACTTAGGCGCATCCTTACTAAAATCTAACGAGCTTGAATCTATCATGACGCACTGAACTTCATGGTTTTGGAGATTGCAAACTGATAGCACAACTCAGATATCGCAGATCCCCATGTGTATGGAGTGATCGACTGGAGGACTGTGAGTCAAGTTCAATGGATCCTTCTTAATGTGGTTTGTCTGACACTACCATGCATGTGAGATCCGTGACGCCCACCCTCTTTATGTGAAAACTCAGCATGCTGTGCGGGGGACAGGTCATGCGTGGCACACGCGGGCGGGCTGTCAAGCCCTGCCAGTCGCGCGTGTCCAGTTCCTGTGCGTAAGTCGCCGTTCCTGCGTCTGCCATGTCGCAGAGCACATGGTGTACGTTGTCGTTTGCGACGGTCGAGCTGTCATATTTGCTCAGGAGTAAAAGTGAAAAAGCCTTAGCAAAGGAATATGTTTTTTGCGTCGGCAACTTTCACAATCTTCTTAATCGGCAGGCCTATCCGTACACGCAGGGTTAGTGTGAGTGTGTACGTCAAAAAGCATAATTTCCAGCAACAGCAGAGCTGCAGAATTTGACGCTGAAGGCCTGGAAAACTTGCTGAAACCGACAATGAGAAGTGACTTTAATATGTAAGGCCCTCGGATGCAAAAGGACTCAAAGGTGATTAAATACTGCATGCGAGCAATTTCCAACAAGCTAGTCGGATGGCGCATCAGAGGTATCAGATACACGACGTCGTGGGAAGGGAGGTCATCTGACGCAAGAGGCACACATAGGCAGTGAAAGCTTAACCGTGGCGACTGACGTCTAGCGTGTACCTAACGAAGTAGATATAGCACCGGTGACTTGCGCATGCATTAGTTAACAGTGAGACAGACTTGCGCAGCATCTAGCGCACTCGCTCCTCCCAACCCACCAGGCTCCGATGGCAAAACAATAGCAGGATGACTGAAGGTGGGCTCGTGCGACATAGACAGTGGTGTCACAGTGTTCTTCGATCACCGGCAGGTCCTGGTAATTCCTGATATAGACGCTTCGCTCATCTGAACTCTGACATAGCACTAAAATTAATGGCATTTGTCATGAAACTAGCCATAATCCCTGAGGGAGGAAACGCCACATTCCTCTACGTTCGACGTGACCCTGAAGTTTGCCTTACAGTGTACAACGGTCTAACCGTTACCTGACTTCTGCGAAGGGACATGATGGCTTGGGGAAGGATTTATTAAAATGGAAGTCCGGAAAACATGATAAAGTGTAGGATGGGCGATCACAATGTGTGATTAAAAGAGTAGTGAGCATTATCAACGTGCGTGTACAAAGTATAAATGACTCGAACAAATAATAAAAGCTTCGGAGAAGTTGCCGTTGGTCACATTTAACCACCACTGATCAGGAAGTTTACTAACCTTAAAATTGTAAGACTGTCTTCTGTTGGTAAATCTTGAGTGGTTGTCAAGATCAACCGTTAGGCCCAATCCAACGACTTTCAAGATCTGGATGAGTTCAGCCATCAAACAAACTAACTACAGCTCTGTAATGCTGAAGTTTGGAATCATAAGTTTGTCGACTCGAATAATTCCTTAACTAAGTGCCTTACTACCCTAAGGGCACCAGTTTATGCAAAACCACTAAATTCTACAATATCATCACAAAAATCTAACAGCAATTATTATTATTTCCAGCACGATAAAGGGGTCTGACAGTGGGACTTTTAAGTCATAAAAACTTTTGCAGGAACCTCTACAAATAAAGTAAATTCCTCCTTATAATAAAAATACGAGACTGGAAGTGTTCGTTAAATACTGTCTGACGGAGCGGATGCATACCCAACTTGTTAAATTTCAGGCACGGAATTTTGTACAGTGGGCAGGGTGATCCGCTTTAGGCTAGTATAAAACACACAAAAATTGCCCACCGCAAAGGGGGTCACAGAAAACAAGCTGCTCTTTTTTTCAAGAGTGACACTGAAACACCCACATATATAAGGCATGTGATGCCGTTGTGATGGCGAGAAGCCAGATTGTTAACGGAATGGGTGAATGTTACCTCAGTTTATGTTAGCCACACAACTGTGAGTCAGTTGGCTCATAGGAGGCAACAAGTTGGTTCATTAATTATCCGCATGTAGAAGCTAAAACAAATCCGGATAACCTGTTCTTGTGATGGGTAAAAATCTGTAGGTAAGAAATCCTCCAGACTTGAAATTTGAACAGATTTTGGGTGTGCCACAGGAAGGTTCGTGTACGAGTGCGGTGAAAAACTAACTCACACCACACCGTCTATCACGCTAACTGTCATGATAAAAACTGTACTGACTAAAAACAGGAGTACGTCCACTAGCCTACTTGAAACGACCAAAAAATTATACAGCGACTTTGGATACGGCTTTTTTTATTGTCCTGGATGTATAACACAGCGTTTTCTGAATACAACTGCGTTATGGCTCATATGCTCGGGACTAAGCAACTAGTCGATTCCCATGACTGATTCGACTCCGTCTACTACCCTGCAGACCATTCCCCATCCTTGTGTACCTACAGAAGAGATAGGGCGACATTTCCCGTCAATGCTGATGTCAAAGTCTGTTTATGTAAAAAGCGCATTACCAGCTGTTTAACAACTTTCGATGGCGCACGAAAGTGCATAATGACTACGTCGCAATTGATGAAAGTCTACTTCTACATCTGACATTTTTTTCCAAATCTAAAGCTGGTAACGGGTAGTCGAGAAGTTGCATTGCTTAGAGCGTGAATGTTCGTGTGCCGATACAAATTCGGTAACTTGCGATAGCTGGAGGCGCTGTGGAATTCGAGCTGCAGCTAGCAAAGAGTGCATAATCTCCCTCAGGAAGGTCTCCTTGATTGCTCTTCCTTAAGACGAAACAGCCGGCATTAGTTAACTGAAGGGGTCTGCGACTGTTCGCGTTCCCCCGACACCTATTATGTGAAGCTTTTCAAGAGCTAGGGAACTTACTGCTAAGACTAAATGCGCTCGGAGCACGTAACGAGCTGGTTCGATGCATCCATTTATTGGCAGTCTGAAAGTGGAAAGTCCTTCGGGGAGTGGGTGGGAGTTGACCGGTACTCGGCCGAGAACGCTGCCTTGGAGAGACCTGGTCGTTATAAGGTGGTGATTGGGCTAGACTGCTTAAAGCTTTTCATGGTTACTTCAGTACACAGTTACTTTTCGGCTGGCAGCTGACTATTCTGAGGAGATAATGCTACACTTTAAAGGTGGCAGATAGGTTAAGTATCCTGCTGACCTGAGACTAACCACTAAACTGAGTCAGCAACAGCCGACAGACCTTGAGTCCTGCGTTTTTATGTTTACTGGGCAGTGGATCCACTTAGTGCTCATAAGAATACAAGAGGCCCTCTGGGTAGTTGGCTTATATACGTATTTCCGCTCCTGCAGTCGGGCATATTTCATGCCTCCGTTGTTTCAAGTTCTAGTGGTTTGTGGTCCATGGTGTCACGAGTGAACTAGGTAGCTAAATCGGTCGGTTTATCCATAAACGCTGAGAAGAACAAAGTGTTTTTAAGATGCCTCCCTGACCAGGAGAAAGCACCTCTCAGGACCGATGGCTGTCAACTTGAAGAAGTGGACGGCTTTAAATACCTCGGGGTGAGGCTACTGCCGAATGACTAAGGTAAGGACGACATTGTCCTCCGAATTGATGCTGTCCGCCAGGTCTTATCAAGCCTTAGAAAATGTCTATGGATCCGACGCGACCTCTCCATCGTCACTAAGATCCACGCGTACCGTGCGTCCGTCCGTTATGGCTGTGAATGCTAGGCTGTGCCCGTGGATGACGGGCGAAAACTGGAGGTATTTGACCACCACTGCTTGAGGACCATCCTTCGAGTGAAGTTCACCGACTTCGTCTCAAATAAGACAGTCCGCGCTCGCTGCGACAATATCGCAAGGATAACCCAAGCCATCCAAGAAAGGCGACTGAGGTGGTTTGGGCATGTTCTTCGTCGTCCACCACAGGAGCTCAGTGTTACTGCCCTCGATTCGGCACCGTTATACCCGTTAGAGGCGTCGACGAGGGGGTCAACTCAAAACCTGGTTCGACACAGTTCGTCAAGACATGGAGGTGGTTCTTGGACCTTCGGTATTCGGTCTCCGTCGTTGGCGAAGAGAATGGACAGAACGTCCAGATCTGCTGCCGTGGATTGTCACGCGTGGAAAGGTACAGTTCGGGACAGCATCGAGGCCGGATAGATCAGGCATGATCACAGCCGTACCAAGTACAAGTAAGTAAGAAGTATCTCCGTTCGAGGGCTCACTAAACTATGGCTTCGCTAAGCTTGGAACAAGCGGCCTATGCGTATTAAATTTGCTATTTTGTGTCTGTGAAATACTTTTCTTAGCTGAGTTGGTGTCTAATGGGGGAGCGCAGCTTTGTACCTCGCATAGTCGGAGCCCGGTGATGATGTTTTTGTGCTGCAGTTAAATGAGGCTTCTGTTTTACGAACATCCAGCAAATAGTCTACGGGATTTAATTGACCATTTACAACCCTAGCTACTTAGCAGATGATGCCAGTAGCCTTACTGGTCTTCGTGGGTTAGTGTTTTCGCTAACCCGTTTCTTCCGGTTATGATAATTAAATACTCTCTAGAGAAAGCATGGCCGAACGAATACCAATGCATAGTTTCCGGTTTCTTTTAGAACTTAAATTTACTAGTACTAACTTCGTCACACTAAAGCTGACATAACGGATTACTGTTGTCCTGGATGAAGGGCGATGGTCATAGTGGAAAGTA